GGGCTGCCAGCGGCTTGCTGGCTCATATTTTGGGGCCACTGGGTCAGGGGCAGTGACTGCTGGCTCTGGGCTGGCAGGCTTGGAGCTGGCATAGGCACAGTGGCCAGAGTCTACCCCTTTCAGAGCTCTGGGACGGAGGGAGGGAGAGGAGTGTTCTTGGTTGAAGCTGGGGTGGCCACCAGGGCACCCTGGGAAGGCTGGAAACCCCCTATTTCGAAATAAGTGTCTATACAGCACTTATTTCAAAATAGCTATTTCGAATTTGGTGTTATTCCTCATAGAATGAGGTTTACCAAATTCGAAATAAGCTATTTCGAATGTATTTTGAAGGAGCAGTTTGGCTGTGTAGACGCTAGTAAAGTTATTTCGCAATAACGCATGTCATTTCGAAATAACTTTGCTGTGTAGACATACCCTAAGGTAACACTGGACTTGTTTTTGTTGAAACAGACTAACATGGCTACCCCTGAAACTTGCCATAATGGCAAGAGTTAGGCTACCAAAATAGGGGTTACTGCCGTGTGGATGTGTGCACGAGCATACCCTCCATCAGTGGCTCTAAAATTAGAGAGTGTTCCACAAGCATCTTCTGATACCATATAATAAGGGGAAAGCCATTCCAGGTATAGTCACAGCAATTAACAAAGATCTTAACAAAATCTAACAGAAATAACAACATCATCAAAATTCTCATGAAAAAAAATCCTTGAAGAAACAGTACTTGATGAATTTCAATCAAGGAGAGAATGTTGAAATCAAGAGCAAGAACATGGGAGAGGTAAGGAATTTACCAGCACACAGGAACTGAAAAGAGGCCAGCACTCCATGGCTCTAGAGTAATGTCTATGTACCAATTAAAGGCCATTTTAATGTATCCAGTTCACAACTGCACAAGAAGTGCACAGAACTGCATATGAGTCAGTGACCAGGGACCTTGCAAACAGGGCCTGTTAACAGGGAGTTTGAAGAGGAAGTTGGGAAGGGGATAAGATACACTCACCATTCCTTAACATCTTTTCACTACACTCCTTCCCTTCCAGGAGGCAGTTAATAACTGAGGAATCTCTCAGAAGGAAGACAGGTATGCATGGTGATAGGTCTGCTGTTGTTACCTGCACAGCATGTGCCATGTTTGTCTTCCTCCCAGAAGAAAGAAGGGATTTCATCTGCACTAAGTGCAAGCTGGTCATCATTTTGGAAGAAAAAATTAGAGGACTGGAGGCCCAAGTATCGACCCTACATTCTATCAGAGAGGATGAAGACTTTCCTCAATAAAAGGCAGCATTTTATCCTGCAGGCACAGCAGGCTGAAAAGCCAGTCAGGACAGTACAGGACAAGGAAGAAAACTGTAACCTCTAGAATGAGAAGAAGGCAAACTGAGGTATCCCCCGTTCCTGTAGAGGTAAGTAACCGCTTTCAGGCTCTCTCAACAGGCACTGCAGTGGAAAATGCTTTGTCAGGGATCTCTCAGGGAAGAAATCAGAAGGGAACACCATCTACCGGAAAGCATAGGATTCATAGTCCTAGGGATGGGGGTTCCAGAATCACCACCTCCAAAAGAAGAAGACAGGTGGTGGTGGTTGGGGACTCCCTCCTAAGAGGGACTGAGTCGTCCATCTGCCATCTGGACCTGCTACTGCCATCTGGAAGTGTGCTACTTACTGGGGGCTCGCATTCAGGATGTGACCGAGAATCTTCTGAAAGTGATTAAACCTTCTGATCGCTACCCCTTCCTGCTTCTCCATGTAGGAATTAACAATACGACCAAGAATGACCTTGAGCAGCTCACAGCAGATTACGTAGCTCTTGGAAGAAGGATCAAGGAATTTGAAGCGCAAGTGGTGTTCTCGT